CGTTTGAAAAATTTCATTATCTCAAAGTGGGGTGCTAACTTTTTTTTAAATTTTTTTTTCTCTCAACCCCTTGAGGTACAAACGAAAAGAACAATGGTACAATTGGGTACAAACCTAGCTCTATCCAATGCATATAAAAAAAATTGTTTTTCTTAAAGTCGGGTGCCAGGTTCACATAGGTAAAATAATATTCCATTTTTAATTGACATACGCAATTGTTAAGTTAGAAAGGTGACATGAATCTAACACATCAAAATATTACAAAAATAATAACATATCAGTTGTATGTTCATTTTACATTGAAGTATAATAATCAAAATGTGGTAACACAAGAAAAATTCTACATATGGACGCACGATATTTTACTGTGTAGATAACATTTGTCAAGATCAAGAGCCATTGAAGGTTAGTCCTCTTATTTTTATTTTTGCACTAAAAATTTATAAAAATGAAAATAAACATATCTAAAACTGTTTCCGAGATATATGGCCTGGGTGGGATTTTATATAGACACCCTGTATATTTAGTTGTAGTAAAATACTTTTAATTGTATTTATATATGTTGTACAAAAGATTGTTTTATAAAAAATAAAAGATTGTTATTTACAAAATAAAATAATCTATTTTAATATATGTATACATGTAATTACACTTTTATAAGTAATATACATTTTAGTTAAAAATTAAAGAAAAGTAGTATTATAACAACTGAAGATGAGAAGAAAAAATCGAAGAGGGAAATTAAGACCAATGGAGAAAAGAGGGAATCGAATAAGAATAAAGACATATACGGTTCATTAAATATGTTTCCGTTGACAACATATTAATCTTACATGTATATTATATGTATAAATATACACAGTATTCTCTATATACAAACATATGCCATACACTTGACTATATATATATCTGTTTATAATCATATACATTACTTACTATAATTATATCATTACATTATATAATTATATCTAATGATAACATAGTCATGATGCATAATTTTGACGATTATCATCGCAACGATATAAATATAATAATTATGATCATATACTTACATCAATAAATTTGTTATCATAATTGAGCTACACAGTTATAATACACAATTCTGTTATTATTAATTTTACAACTATTATAATTGCCATATTTTTAATTATGATACACATATAGTTACGACAACACATGACAATTAATATTCAATTAGTTATTATTAATAACTCCTTTTTTATTTAAACTTTGTAATTTCTTTCATGATTTCTATCTTTTAATATCTTTCCTTCTTTTATCTCTTTAAATCTCTTTGAAATTTTGACCATGTTTATTTTGAAAAGCTCATTTTAGATTTCGAAATCCAAAAAAATAGATTAGTCTAATAGTGATTTATGACATATTAATAATTCTATTATTTTCTAATAACTTACATTCAGAGATCTATAAAAAATAGATAGCCAATCTTTATAATAGAATAATAATATATACAAAGAGAACCCCAGAAGTGTTCATCGAGTTTTTCAATGCCAATTTTTTGGCGATTCTTCAGGCCAAAAAGTATATGTATCGCAGTATTTATCAACATGCGGTTTTGTTTTCTCGTTTATAAATTTTTTTTAATCGGAAAATTGAACAATCCAGCAAATCGGGTTCACGAAGAGAATTTTTTCTTAGAATTTACCCTGAAAATATGACAATCGTGGGACAACATTGTGTTTCGAAGAATTTTGATATAAATCTCTCTCATTCATTAATAAAACTACAATAAAGTATAAAATAAGTTTGATCAATTTTACTGAAGTGCATGGTAAAAATCTTTAAAATATTGTATTGTACCACAATTACCATATTTTCAGGGTAAATTTTAAAAGAAAATTCTCTCCGTGTTCGCATTCGAGATTCAGTAACTTTTCTTTCTCTTTAAAATATGTAAATTGAACAATCCAGCGAATCGGGTTCGCATTCGAGGTTCAGTAACTTTTCTTTCTCTTTAAAATATGTATTTTGTTGTGTTTGTTATACTTTCTTTCAAACAATTCAAATATCGATATTATAAGATTTCCTACAAAAACAATATTAAAACATTTTCAAACGGGGAGGGGGGGGGGGTTAAAAAATTAGTTTTACACACAGAAACTATTAACAGCACGTGCGTTTCAAGATAACGGAGTCTCGAAATGCTCTATTTATTTTTAAAAATTAACGTTTTCTAAATGTTCCTTGATAAGCTTTTTTTTTTGAAAAATAATGCGATCTAAATTTTTCAGATTTTCAAAAATTTATAACTCGAAAACAAAGCTGCATGTTGATAAACACCGCAACACGTATATTTTTTTTACCTCAAGATTCACTGAAAAAATTGGCATTAAAAAATTCGATGAACACTTCTGGGATTCCCCTTATTAGTGTGGAATAATACTTCTAATATGCATTAAATCTCTGTTTCATTTTTAGAAAAGCTGACACATAAAAACAGTTAGTCCTATAAAAATAGTTAGTTTAATAGCGAAATTAGATGTAAGAATGATCGTGATATGGATTCCGCGTATTTTAATAACTTTCAATGTTCTCGTTGTTGTTGTTGTTGTTGTTGTTGTTGTTGTTGTTGTTGTTGCTACTGTTGTTGCTAGCGACCATGCTAGTGTCCTGATTAAAATCATTAGTAACTCGATTAGAGTTTATAGCAGAAAGAAGAAGCCGGGGACCACAGGCTCGGATTGGATGAGTAGCAACGAGACAGTCAACTATCTGTCTTATAGTAGGCATGCAGGTTTTGTTGTATCCTGGAAAACACACATCACATGCTCCATCAGAACTAAAAAAATGCATACCGACGTCACGTCGTCTTGGGTGTTAAATTTTCAACTTAAGACATTAATATTTATAATCGATACTAGAAAAACTTAATCACAAGAGATAGATGAAAAATTCAAGATAAAGTTTCATATTTAATAACATGGATGTATAACAAGAGATATTCGATTAAAAAATTATTAACTAATATTATATAAAAATATTTTTCAATTGTAGCTTCAGTAATTACAAATAATTTGAAAAATATGAGAACATTTCGTAACACTGAGTGTTCAACAAAAACTTTCGAGATATTTTATATGCATACAACCCAAAAAGACGGATGTACATCTGATTGTTATAGCAAGTACGCACAGACGATCATCTAAAAACTCAGATGTAAATGTGTAGGAAAAACGAAAAGGATTGAAGTTATATCACATGCATTTTTAAATCGCGAGCAGAGGGGCAAAATATAACGCAGAAATACAATGGACAGGGAGAAGTCATAAAATCGTAAGCTATATAACATACAAAATAAAAATAATAGAAAAGTTTATCAAAATAGTAGCTAACTACAATTAACAATCAATTTTAACACAATCGAATGATTTATTAGGACTCGTCATCGACAGTCCTATGATAACCTTGATATTTTTTTCTGACGACAATAAAAATGAAAAAAGATCTAAAGACTGAAGGAACTTATCACTGATGGCTTCGCTTTAATTTTTATTTGAATCCTTAGATATTCCTGATGCGATAATCGAAATGACATCGAGCACAAAAGATTCATTAGGTCCAAAGGATCAAAGAGACTCATTATAAACGGTTTTACTTTAGCCTTTACTTGGATCTCTCCCTTCAAGTGTTCTTGTTGCGGGAATCGAAATCAGGGTCCGAAAGGATTAAAAATACTCCTTGTCGGTGATTCCACATTAACATTTAAAGGCATTCTTGGTGTGCTAAAATGAGGATTATTTATCAGTTGAACTCATTGAACGTATTTCTCAAGCAATAAAAATGCGCAACATCACATGCAGTAAAGGGAAACAGAGCCCAATAGATTTCTCATAAAGTTATTAAATACAAATTGGATAAATGTTGGCATTCTAAATACTTAGCATTAATGTAGTTGAATCTAAAAACATCAAGCCACAAAGGAAGAGAGCAATAGCGCTATAATACTGACGCCCTGTATGCAACTAAAGTGAAAAAAATATACGTTCCCGAACGCACACGAAATACTTCTTTATTATAATTCCGTAATAATACTTAGCATTTGCATGCACAAATAAATAGACATACAGACATATGGGTAAAAAGTTAAAAAATGCGTATGAGCTTATTAATAATTACGGCATAATATACATTTTTCATAATCTTTCGGGCACATCTCACTACTTTTCGCATATAAGATGCCCAAAGAAACATGAAAAAGCAACGAGCAAATGTTTTAAAACTTATTTCTTGACAAAAATGTTAACGCTGTGCTTGAAATATCTTCTTAACTTTCAACATGTTTACTAACAATTAAAACATGTCCATTAAATCGTTAAACTATAATTAATAGTATCACTCTCGTTAAATATACCTTGGATCAATGATTAAATTTTACACCTGGAAGAACACCTGGATGATCATTCGGGATAACATATGGAAGAACATCTGAAAGAGTTTACCTGAGAGAGAAGCAATATATCAAAAAAATAATTTCTTCAATTTTTCGGAACGCTCTATAAAGTTCAGAGTGAAACGCTATCCTTTAATCGATGTATCGCTTTGTCACTTATAACTATAATTGTTCTGTTCAATATTGACTGTAATATTACTAAGATTGTCTTGTTGTGTCTTATGCAACTCTTGCGTAAATCGTCCAACAATTTCTCGATTGCCATATCGAGAATAACAATTTCTTCCGTTGGTCCTTCCTATCGATACCGAACTATCGATTTAAAGTTGTATCTTATATTAATAACACAACTATCACAATAATTATGTAATACTGTAACGGCGCAATATTTAAGCCGAGATGTCATAATAGCAAAATTTGCTTCGCCTATACTTTTCATAATAATTAACGTGACATTTATCTCTTTGTTAAATTAATGTTATTAAATATATATAGTATATTAAGTAATTGTTAAATCTTTCTTAATTATCAATTAATTAATAATATATCAAGCAATTAATCAATATCAATATTTGTTTCGTAATCTTGCGTAATGTATTACACAAATGCGTACATTATATTATATTTAATCAATTATACGAGATACTTCATAATTATACGTATTATTTATAATTATTATAAATTTAACTAGTTAGTAAAATTCATTAAAAAAAAGATCTTGATCATTTTATGAATTCTATTAATTAATATCTTATATAATGTTTAAATATAATTATATACATATATTATCTCGTTTAAAAGATTTATCGGCTTTTATCAAAGTAGTTGTACATACACGGATATACTTGTGTTCAAAAACCGATGAAGCTTTCGTATAACAATTAAATCTATCATTTAATATATTTATAAATTTCTATATCGCATGCGCACGCGCTTGTATATATATATTTTTCGATTCTAGTCACTACAGAAAAATTTCGCACTTTCTCTTTTCGATTATTTACTTATTCAATTTATATAATATTTTAAAAAATCTCTTCTTTCTATAAAGGTTGTTGTTGCACATGCTTATTATTCAATGCAAGATAGTATCTCTTGATTTATATATATTGTATTATATTTTCATGTAATTTCTAATGTCCCAACTGCACAATGTATCCGATTGCCCATTCTGATTATAAGGCAGTTTCCTTCTCGCTAATAATCTTGATTCCATGCTGTGTGAGAATCATCTTCACCTCTTCCTTATCTCGAGTATTTAGTTTCTGGGTTGAGTCTTCAGCTTCATTTTCCTTTCCTAGATTTTCCGTCTGTGAGCTTAGATTATCGATGGATTTATTCAGTCTATCTTTGCAGACATCGTCGGCCGACTTCTGCAAAGATTTTGATCTTCTTGAGTCTCTCGATATCTGCAGATTATCAGCAGATCCAATCAGCGTTGTATTCTTCACAACCTTGAGCACTTTATCGCTTCCCTTCGAAGATATCTTTGCCAGTTGAAGACTATCTACCGAAGAATATCGTCTCTTATCTTGTGCATTTCCGCTAGAATCTTCCTTTTTTCTGAACAAAGAACCCTTGCGGTTGACCTTCCTGGTTCCACTCGTTAAAATCGCGATCTCATCTTTGGGTATAAAGTATAATTCCCGTGGCTGATCTCTGTTCATCGAAGAGCCGTGAATGAACAAAGACTGTGATTTCGATCTTCCAGGATCCTTGATTCTCTCTTTATCAGAGATCCTGCTTCGATCATCAGCCGATTCTGTACCGCTCTGAAAGCCACAGTTCTCAATCTCGAAGCTATCGTCGTCATCTTGGTGTGGCTCAATCATCTTGAAAGTATACCTATCAGCCGGTAATGTAGAATCCTGATCAAAACTGCCATCCACCTCGCCACAAATTTTGCAAAGTTCGCAGGGAATCTCCTGAATCTTTCCTTCAAAATCGTCAGCAGATTCCTGGAGATTGAACGAACCGCAGATGTCGCATTCGATAGAATCGTCATCATCGGCCAGCGAACTGCAGGTTGATCTGAGCGTATAGAACGTCTCCTGATTCGGGCTGCTTACTTCCTCCTCTGTTCGGAAAGTGATCTCATTCATGTAACAGCAGATCGAGCAGAACTCGTCCGGAATGTCAAGTTGCGAGCCACTACTATTCGTCTTCGTTGGCGGTACACCCAGAAATACCTCCTGAATGCGTTTGATTGACTCATAGCTTTTCGACTTCTTCGAGAACGCGTCGTCTTTTTTCGGCTTCTGTGTGGATGTTTCATCGGACACGATCATTGAGTCCAAGCTGCCTTGAAGAGGTACGTTGTAACGTCTCACTTTCCTCGTATACACATCTTTAATCTCATTAAAGTCACACTTCGTTTTATTATCAGCGTCTTTTGCCGTTTTTATTGTTTCTTGTGCTTGTTGTCCTTTGTTTTCGTTCATTTTTACAGTCTTCTGAGTTTGAGTCTTTTTCGGACTCCTTACAGAAGACGTTTTCGAGGAATGCTGAGAGGGGTCTTCAATCCGCGATATCTCTCGATTATCAGTATGTCGATTTTGCTTCTTCAATTCGCTCTCGAAATCGTTTTTGGAACTCTTCTTTGAAGAATCCAGAAAAATTTCCTCTAATTGAGTGATAACGCGATCGTTGATAGATCGATCGTAATCTTTCATATCTTCACTTCTATAAAAGATTTGATTCTTCTTTTTGGGACTTTTTACACTTGTAAATATTTTTGATAACTTTTGGGATGCCTTCCTAGATCGAGATGTTTCTCGATCACTGATAGATTTATCATGATCCTTCATTTCGCGCTCACTTTCGTCAGTCTGAAGCTCTTCAACTGTTCTGGGACTCTTCGTCTTCATGGAGGATGATCTTGAAGAACCTTGGAAAACTTTTTCTGCATGAAACGTTTCTCGATCCTTAACAATTTGTCCTTTTTCCTCGATATCTACATCGTAAATCTGTTCTTCCGTGATTTCGGAGCTTTTCATTTTCGCAGAAGAATTTTGGAATGCTTCAGATTGAAGCGCCTGTGGATCGTCAATGAGTCGATATTGCTCCTTGACCTCGACATCACGAATTTGATCGTCCTTGATCTTTCTCGGACTCTTACGAGAATTTACGATCGATTTTAAGTATTTGCCATCTATCTCGAGACTCGAATCGCAAGATGTCATCGGTTTTTCCGAGGAATGCGTATCCAATTCTGATCCTTTTTCTATTCTGCTTATCTTGTCAGTCTCTTGCGACATTCTAAATATTTCTTTTATCTGTTCTCCGCCTTCAAAATTATTATCCTTATCGTTTATCTCTGCCACTGAAAGTGATTCTTCCACGATATATTTCAATTGATCTGCTTCATCGAAAGATTTTATGCGGTTATCACTCTCGCGATCGTTTACAGAATCTACATTATCTGTCACGTCTTCTATTTGACCGTCAGCGTATTTCGTCAAATTCAATCTGGCAGTATATATAGGTTTCTTATTTTCTTCTTCATCCTCGTCGAAACCATATTGGCTAAGGCGATAATCTTCCTTGTCTACACTGAAATCGGAGAGAGCACATTCGTGGCGACCGTCCAGTGACGTCATTGAAACGTTTAATGACGAAGTTATTGCCTTAGCATCTAGATATTTAGTTCTATTCGATTCAAAATCGGCTGTCTCTTTTCTGGAGTCGATTCCCATGTCATCAACTTCGATGTTATTCTTCATATCTCCCTCCGCATTAAGTTCGGTTAATTCTGTATCATTTTTACCTACCTTATCTACCTGTGAATTTTCTTTAGACTTATTCTTTTCCTCGTCAAGTTTAATTTTAAGTTCATTTGTAAGTTTTTCTATCATTAACCTACGGTCGTCTTTTAACATAAGTATGCCATGGCTAGAATGAACAGGCTGTACCTTAACAACATCGGTAAATTCTACTTCTACATTAACCATTTCTTTGTTGCTAACGTCAACTTTTCCATCTATGACACTTTTTACTATCGATTTGGAGCTCTTCTCCGATCCAATTCGTCTAAAACTAGACCGATCCGAATTTACTTTGTCACTGATTACTTCTACCGTAGATCTACGAGTTTCTTTCAGTATGTTCTTATCATCTAAACCTAACTCTGCATCGATTATTCTTTTCTCAAACATAATTTTTCTATCGCAAGTTTCAACTCCATCATTAGCAGCACTTTCTCTTTTCGGCCAACAACATTCTCCCAATCGGAGTTCGCCAGAACTCGACTCGCTAGATTGAACCTTCATTATTAATTTGCAATCGTCACTCGAATCTAAATCTATGTCAGTGACTTCCATCTTAGATCTCAAATTCTCTTTTTGCTCAATCTCAATTTGACCCTTTACTACACTTTTTATTATTGACTTAGAATATTCTTTTGGCACAAGTTCACCAAAACTTGGCTGATCGGGCGAAACTTTCACGATTATCTCACTCGAACCTAAATCTACATCAATAATTTCTGCTTTAGATCCCAGATTCAACACTTCTTTATCCCTCGCAATATCGTCTACTGTCAATCGATCATCATTCGACACCAATTCGCTAGAATTCGAAGAAATTTTTACTATTATCTCGTGATCATCGTTTGAACCTAAGTCTACATCAATGATTTCCGTGTTGGATTTGAAATCCGAGACCTCTTTCTGTCCACTAACTTTACCCCCGGCACTATCTACCACCGAACTACGACCCTCTTTTGACGAAAGACCAGGATGGGACTTCGCCATCGGCTCGTCAAACGCACCTACCTCGTCTAAAATTCGCGCGACGCCGGTTGCGCTGGCGATGATCTGTTTCGCCTGACCGGGATATGCGACTCTAGATACATGCTTGATGTTGCCATTGTCGACGTTGTTGCTGATCACACTAACGAATTGCTCGCGAATCTCGTCGAGTCCGCCACTACCCGTAGCATTTTGCAGGTTTTTGCGTAGCACCACCGCATCCGGCACATCAATTGACGCAACAATCTCGACTGGGCTCGGCGAGCCCATAGTTACATCGCTGGGTGACGGCGTTAGCAATGCAGTTAGGTATCGGGGATCTATGTGCAGGTAATTGTTCACATTCGGCGACGACAATTCCAACTTACTTCAGTGTCCAATCGGCAGCGGCAGCGTGAAAAACATGATGATTCTTTTATAGAACATCACTTTCGCTCATTACGTCACATTCTAGCACAACATAATTTAGTCACGTGGGCTATGTTTTCTTATTTGTAATTAAAAATTATTAGATAATTGCATAGGAAATATATGATTTTCTAGTTCACAGAAATAAAAAATAACTTCTGAACGGTTCGAGATAGAGGATTGAAGTTTATAGGGATGCAAATGGCATCATAAAATCTATCATTTAATACCAAAAATGCCCATTTTAACACCTCCGGAGAGCGGGAGGAAGGGGAGCGGAAAAATCTTAAATTGCACGTGGGATCGAGTGAGGGCTCGTTTGGAAGGCCCTTTCAAACGAACCCTCACTCGATCCTACGTGCAATTTAAGATTTTTCCGCTCCCCTTCCTCCCGCTCTCCGGAGGTGTTAAAATGGGCATTTTTGGTATTAAATGATAGATTTTATGAGGCCATTTGCATCCCTATAAACTTCAATCCTCTATCTCGAACCGTTCAAAAGTTATTTAGGTGTCCCGGTACTTTTTCCTCACCCTTATACAGGGTGTTTGAAAATTATCGGCTAATCGATCACGAGCAGATAGAACGGACCGAATTGAATCGAAAAA